CTGTCAGACACCTCCCTTCACCCACTTTTATGTTGTCTGTCTTCCAGGGCGGGAATTATATATAGATCCTTGTGATCAGTTCCCCCTTGCTACCCCATTTTCTCTCCACCTTCCTGGTATCACCACTGGTTCTGAGGGGTTCATCTGTCCTGGATTCTCTGTGTTTCTAGTTCCTATCTGTACCAGTGTACATCCTCTGGTTTAGCCGGATTTGTAAGGTAGAATTGGGATCATGATAGTTAGGGTGAGGAAGCATTAAAGAACTAGAGGAAAGTTGTATGTTTCATTGGTGCTGCACTGAACCCTTATTGACTCGTGTCCTTCCCACAACCCTTCTGTAAGGGGTTGTCCAGTTACCTACAGATGGGCTTTGTAAAGGGATGTCCAGTTGCCTGCAGATGGGCTTTGGTCCCCCACTCCGCACTCCCCCTCATTCACAATGATATGATTTTTTGTTCTTTGATGCCTGATCCCTGATCCCTTCGACACTTCATAATCACACAGGCTGGTGTGCTTCTTCCTTGTGGGTTTTCTTGATTCTCAGCTAGATGGCCACGTATTTATCTTCAAGCCTTTAAAACCCAAGATGCTATATTTTTTGATAGCTGGGCACCATCAGCTTTCTCCACCACATTTGCTTATGTACCCACTTTGTCTTCAGTGATGGTGTCAGGAAGGTGTGCATCATGGAATGCCAGTTTAATGGAATAAAGTTTTGTTGCATTGAGGGAGTATTGCGTGGAAGCCCAATGTCCATCTGCTACCTTAATAATAAACCTATAAATATATGCACATCGATCTATTTCACCATTATCATATATAAATACCTTGGTAATTTTTTTAGGTTAAAATCTATGTAAATTAGAGTGTGGTTTAAATTTTATTAACTTTAAGGACCAGGCCATGTGATACTATTTCGATCTAAACTTAGAGAATTAGGTTGTTAGAAAGGAATGGGCCCACATCTGACCTCCTCTGCCTCTATAAGGTGAGAGAAGAACCCAAATCATCATGCCAAGGCCAATTCCTATGAGGCCCAGTCTATGTTTGTCTCAGCCCTCCAACCTTTTCCCCCCAGTTCTGATATCTGTTGTTTCTCCCCATAACACACTCTGCTTCTCAGCTGGGTTTGATAATTCATTGTAATGTCAACAAATTTTACAGACAATACTCATGGTTACAGGGCTAATTAGGGAAGGTAACAGGTTACAATTCAGGATAAGAAATGCTCAGAAGACAGCAGTTCTCAGGTCAAGAGTACCTGTTCTCAACTGTGCCCACAGGCAAGCTACACGCTGGCCTTTGGCCTCTCAGCCACGTGACCCTTTGACCTCTGCCTTGCTTCTTTGTGCTGCCGATAAAAGCTGCTCCATCTTAAGCCTCAGCCCAAGACCCTCAGCTGGCACTTCCTTATCTGGAGGCAACCCAGTCTGCAAGTGAGCCTCATGCCTAAGACACTCTGCTTTCTTGTTCCAATGGCCAGGAACCCTGCACTCAGCCTTGCGCTTTGACTCTTGGCTTTGTTTCCGCTGTGCCTGCCATTTCTCCACATCTCTGGTCCACAGTCTTCTGGAATGAGGAGGTTCAGTGGGCAGTGACATTGTGGGCCAAAGGATACACACACTCCACTCCCGGATCTTCTTTCGTAAGGGTAGCTCGATTCCCCATTTCTGCTCATTTTAAACCTGATGAGACGATGGCAAAATTGACCAATCCCTTCATTTAGTGTCCCATACTGGACTGTGGCTAGAAGAACCCTATCAAGTATTTCAGCAGGACCATACAAGTTTAGGGATCATTTGGGAAGAAAAATGTGCATAGAATGAAAGCAGTTAAAGTGACATTTTGGTGACATCTAAATGTACTCTCAGCGCATTGAGACCGTTTATTGTAGTGTCTCATTTTCCGTGAGGCGGCATGAGGACGTATTTTTGCTCTGTTCTGCTGTCACTGCATCACACCTGCCCGTCTCACACTGCTCCCTCTGCTCTTAGCTTCCAAATGAGCTATTCCCAGTCATTCCTGAGAAGGTGAAAGCGGTAGAGGTAGACAATTCCTAGTTAAAGTGTGTCACAGCACAGACAGGTACTTCCTTTCCTTCTATGTTAGGATTTGTGAAAATCCACTGTTCACCATAGTCACTTTCTTTGTTCCTTGCAAGGGATCTGCTAATAGAGAGTCACACATGCTAATTCAGATGCAGCTATTACACACAAGGGCACAAAATGAGTGTCGGCACATTGTGACCTAGTCCTCGGGCAGACTTGGTAGTTGCTTCCAGTAATTGATTACCATGAAAGTGTGAGGCTTAGACAACCAGTGGCTCAACACAGATTCTACTGGAAACATTTTACTTTTGGATGTTTAACATTTTTTACACTTTGGTTGACTCTTCAGTAACTACCCCACAGAGTCAAGTAAGGGTTGAGGGTTAAATGTGCCCAGCACATGTGAGGCCAAGCGCATCTTCTGTAACTCTTCATATTGGCTCTGAGAATGTGCTGGCTCTTCCTTAGAACTTCATTTATCCTCCCATAGACCTCTTCCATTGAGTCCTTTCTGATTCATAGCGACCCTGTAAAGGGTTTCCAAGGCTCTGATGTGGAGGGTTTCCGAGGCTCTGAATCTTCCCTGGAGAAGATCACCTCATCTTTTTCCTGTAGAGAAGCTGGAGGCTTTGAACCACTGACCTGTGGTTATCAATCTGCCCTGCTTACCAGCACCACCAGGGCTGCCTTGTTATAGTGGAAAGGCTCCAATCATAACCTTGAGAGTAAAAATTGCTCCTTTTTCCTGTGTGCCTTCTGGGATACAGCAGCTTGC